CCCTACCGTCACTATAGAGCTAGAGAGTTATCTATGGAGGATGACACTAAGGGTACTACATGTACATGTACAATGCAAATGAATGTATAATAAATGCCCCACATTCTCAGAATGTTTCAGTCATTTTTACAGTCACGCCTTCCGCCATGGTTTACAAAAGAGAAGTCAAACCCTTCAGACATTTCATTATGTACATTTCATTATGTACATTTTGAAGTTATGTTATACCCTGTTTCAGTGTTCTTTTATATTTGTAACTTGCAATTAGCCTTCGGGCATGGATTTGCAATTAACTAAACTTTTCATTATTAAATTAAGTTTCAGAGACTATAAAAAAGAAACCTTTGATTCCTTCGCATTTTTCAATCCCTCCCTATCTGCTGTATAGGAGAGGTAAGGCCACACCAATTTGATTTGTTGGTTCTCGGATTTTTTCAGAAAAAATATGAAGCGACAGGGCGAAAAATTAAAATAAAAACAGGTCTAGGCATCCTATTATAGGCTTAAATGCTATGGAATGAGCCATGAAGTCAACACAAAAGGCTGGGTTAAAATTTAAACATTGAATTTAGAACTTTTAATCAAACCACTGCAATGATAGATGGGAAAACTGTAACAACTAGGAAGAAAAGGACTTTCCTCAACTGTTGGGGGGCAAAATATGAGCATTTTTCAGTTGATTCAGGACCAGAATCAATTTTTTTTTGCAAATCAGAAAAAAAATGAAGAGGCGAATCCGAGAACCAACAAATTAAATTGGTGTGGCCTAACATAAGCATGACGGACAGCTACAGAAGCATAGCAGCAATAACATACAAGAAGACAATTTCGTTACGAAATGTGAATAGACGCGGACATAGACGAAGACACTTCCGCATATATATGACTGTGATTCAATAATAAGCACAATTTTCTCTTGTGAAGAATAATATCTCTATGGCAGACACTTTGTACCTAGCTACAGCTATAGGCTATGTCAAAACATAATAGACAGATGGGGTATATTAGCAGTGGTATTGTCTAACACTATGTCCCTACTGCGATGGTACTGCTTTTACAAGCACAAGTATGCAACATTAACCGCCTGAAAATACAAAGATGATAACTGAGCTGGACTGTAAGTTGATGTGTTTGCTTCAAAGAAAGTACCAGACAACGCTCTTTGTCTGTTCAAAATGTCTCAGCATCCAGGATGATTTTGTAAGTGTAAAATGTTTGCATCCAGGTATGTGTTTTGAAGTATAAGATGTTTAATGTTAAGCCGTACCGTTTGGTGGTGAAGTCGATCGGTTTCCCCTTGAAGAACCACTGCAGCTCGGCATCGGCCCGGGACACCTCCACTGTGAACTCTGCCCTCTCGTGGAGGAACACCGTGCACCCCTTCATCAAACCACGGAACCTGGCCGGGGCCTCTGGAAGGTGGGAAAAAGTGGTCTTGTGGTTTCTTTTTGCTTTCCATAACTTGTAAACCAGCTTTAGGCGTAACACACCAGTCTCTTACAGTAAGTACAGGCTGCGTAAGACCGGACTGTAAGGTTTGAACCACTCATACCTGGAAGGACCACGGACCACTATTACTTTTAAACTTGCAAACCAGCTTTCGGCACAACACACTAGTTTCTTACAGTAAGTAGAAGGTGTGTAAGACCGGACTGTAAGGTTTGAACCACTCATATCGGGAAGGTACCCTACTCTTCCTTTTCATGAGGTGGGATCTTCAACGTGCTCGAGGTGTGGCTCTCCTCAAACACGGGACCTTCGACTTTACGCCCCATCTGAGAATATTCGAACCAGTGACCTGTCGATCCTGTGTGTTATAGCCTAGCCTACTCAAAATATGCTTTTAAGATCGTTTGGGATACTTACTTTTGACGACAAGCATGGCACTGGAGGTGCAGTCTCCAACTACAAGCTTGTACTTTCCCTCGTCGTCATGTCGGAGATCTTTGATGGTCAGCATCACCAGATCTCCCTTGTGTTCCATCTTATACCTGTTAACAAGGAAACATACTTGGATATAAGAAAGGCCCTCGTAAACGACCAATGTTTTTCACCTGGAGACGTTTCGGAGACCATATCTGTCACCTTCCTCAGGGCAATAGTAACTGCTTCTGACTGTACTTGGTGACAGCGAGTTCCACTATGCGATAGTTCTAGAAAGAAATGAGTTTTGTAACACCATCTAGATTGATACCTCTGGTACTTGAAGGCATGGCTATTTCTTGTTCTTTTCTTGAGCTGGTATTAGGTACTTTAGTTGGTACTTCCTACCATTTTATTGAGTCATAACAGCATGATTGTAGAAGCAAGCCTTACTTCTGTCCAGGGGTGAGGATGTCCAGGTTCTTCTCCCACTCCACCTTCAAGTCCTTGTCGTTGATAACTACTTCTGCCATGAACGTGACTTCCTTTTCCTGCTGACCCTCCACATCTTCCAGCTCCTTCACGATCTCTGCAGGCTTTAACAAAACATCAACAGAGCAACATCTTTTATTAACATGGCTAGGTAACATTGTCTACCCCAATAAGGAAACAAAATCTTACCAGAAGATGTAACATTGTCTGCTATGATAAGAAAACCGTCTTTAAAAAAAGTAGAAGAGTCAGCCGTTTTATGACAAGAAACAGTCTGCGTTGAGATGAATATGAGATAAAAGCTTAGTCTGCTACGTAGCTACTGCTGGATCTATTTCTATTCTATGTCGTAAGAAACAACACGATTGCGTTTCGCTAGTAACTAAAACTAGTTGCAATCCTAATTTTCCTAACATCTGATGAACAACCACAACGTCGTTTACCAGCCTTATAAACTCATCTTTTCATTTACGACACCTGGCATAAAACAAAGCAGTACATCATCATAGTCAATCACATACAAGTTTACAGGTGGCAAATAAATAGAGATAAATGTTGTACATCTCTATTTATTTGAACGTGGTCCTTAGAGACAACAAGGGCACGTCCCGTTAGTAAGTAAACGAAATCAAGTTGTAATCCTAGGTGAGAGAATTTCTTTGTGTTGGATCAAAAGTTTTAACTTTAAACAAGTTGTAAAATCCTGATAATTCTAGAGTCTAAACCGCTATATAGACAGATAAGTGAATGTACTGTAGAAGAAAAGAGAAGATCACTTACAAATTAGTGGCGAGCATTGAAGGTAGTGGGCACTTCCTCAGCCTTGCCGCAGCAGAAAAAGCCCAAGGCATCTCTCCGCCCAGTACAGGCGACAAAGAAGTCGTCGCCTTGCTTCCTTTTGGTGATCTTTCAAAGTGAAATGAACTGGTCTAGATGCCCAGTTTTGCGCTCTGATATCAACACAAACTTCAAATCTAAACGGTAACATCCAACAGGGCGAATGTCGGCCATCGTCGTGAATATTCGGCGTCCGATTGAGCAGTTTTGATTGGCTGGTTACGCTACCCTTCCCTCGTGATGTCGTCTTCGTGAATCGTCGGCAACTACTCAATTGGATCGGCCTGGAATATTCACTGATCGATGGATCGCGAGAAACCGCGGCGGAGAACAGAAGGAAAGAAGTGGAGGGGAAGTAGACATTTTAAAAGCATGCACAAAGTTTAAGTTTAGATCCTAATGATTGTTGTTATATTACATCGTGGAATGAATGGGGTGAAATATAACGGTAGGTATAGAAAGGTATGGAAGGTCTATGTTGAAAGCCTGTGCTGTACAGCGAGGCATTGTTAGTGACAATGAGTTGCAATGGCAATGTGATGTACATAACGCTTCTGCCTGTCAATGAAGCCTTATTGAACAGAGTAAGTTTACGATCGTCAGTCTTCGTAAACGTTTGTATATAATGTATCTTATTGGTACCAAATTTGATATGGCTACAACAACATTCAAAATCTATACAATTTTCTTTTCCCAGATGATTGTGTATGCTCTGGCTGTAACGAATGGCATGTGAGTGTGTAAGTGGAAGATTCTGGTATTCAGACAAAACCATTGATGTGAGGTACCTACTTTGAGACTTCGATCCTTTGCAGCTATCTATTGAAACGAATTCAATGTATATAGCGTTTGAGATGGTCGTAAAAAACGCCTCTGGCTATCATGGTAGTGACCAACGAAATGGACATATATTCAGAGCGCAAAACTGTTCCAGTCTTCCAATACGGACTGGTGTTCGGCATTACCTTCTTCGTGCCCAAATCGTTTTCATTCAAACTGCAGTTCTTCTTCATGGCCTCCTCCAGTTCGCCGCTGTGGACTTTCCGCTTCAGAAGTGCCCACCATCCTTCTCTCTTGCTGCCTTTGGGGGCCCACTGTACGTCCCGCGTATGTACACAGACGAAAGGTTGAGACCACGACTGAACATGTTCAAGAGACAGCCTAGCGAGCAATCTGTTAGTTAATCTCCTATGCCTGGTGCTTTTGTTATAACTATGGTGCCATACGTATCAGCCTAATGGTGGCTATGGTATTACAAGCTGTTACTAAAGCAGTTAAACATTGTTCGGCCGTGGTCTTCATACTTTCGGACACCATTTACATGCAGTACTTACTCTTCTTATTGAAGCATCTCAGACCCTCCAGCATCAAGCGTTTTATGATTACATAACCATAGTCTCACCATTGTCAGCCTCATCCGCTGCGTTAGGTACCATGTAAATGTTGTAAAAGTTTTGAAAGCTGGTGTATCCAGAACCGTGCTTTTTCCAGAGCTGTGCCTGAGCATAATTCTAGATAGTGTGTATCCAGAACCGTGTATCAAGAACCGTGCTTTATCCAGAAACATGCTCAGTCACGGCTGTGGATAGTTCACACGTATCAAGAACCATGCCTGGGGGGAATTCTATGTTCTTGGACAATCAGAGACTATTCAGAGCTTTGCCTGGAGCTACCCCTAACCCATTCAGGCATAGAACTAGATATCCACGGTTCTGGATACGATAAAAGCTTTGCGTTCAGAGGGAAAGCTGAAGCAGCTGAAGGCCGCACCTTTTTCTTCTTAATGTGGACGTGTTTGAGCAGGTTCCTGAAGTCCGTGATGCCGTACATCAGAGCCACACGCTCGTAGTCTTTCGGGTCCGTCTTCTCCAGAATCTTCAGGACTTCCTCTTCAGAGATATCCTTCCTGTCTGTGGATCGTCGGCAAACGTTAAGTTTAACTCAAAAGGAGTTGGTCCTTATGAAGGATGTTAACCACTAGAACCATAAGTGTAGGTATATCTATACACTTTTAAGTGTCTTTAGTCTCCATGCAAAATACTCTTTGTGCGATATTTTTCCCGGAGTCACTGGTGAAGCCATTGGAATCTGGCAAATGGCAAAGACAACGTATATTTCACATTTATGAAAACTTGTCTATAATATTAGGAATGAAAAAGACATCAAAAGAAATACCTTTGACGTGGAGAACCACTGCACAGTTTGCTTGGCCACCGGGGTTGAACACGTTACATTTGTAGGTTCCTGCGTCGGCCGGTCGTAGTTCCTGTAACAAATATTGAGAAGTATAAGTCCATGATTTCAACTTGTGGGGTCGTGAGGCGTAACGGCAGAGCGTTCGGCTCTGAACCAAGAGGACCCGTGTTCGAACCCTGCCATGTTACTGATCTTGTGCCATTTGGAAAGGCACTATACATGACTTTCCTGAATGGAGGCCCGGCCTTTCGTACTAGCCACAAAAATTCAGCAGAATCTTCAGCTAGTTGAAGGCGGCTGCCTCAAAATGAAAGAAGAATAAGACGGGGGAACTTTGTGCCCTACTTGAGCCCTTGTTTCGCTATCTTCTCAGTGGTTTTCGTGCATACCTTAGATTTGTTCCGTTGAAAATGAACAGACGCTTTCTTACCTTGATGACCATGACATCTTCCTTAGTTTCCTCGTCAAAGAGCACGTGGTAGCGAGGACCTTCCTTGATCTTCAGAAATTTTCCCTTCTGCCATTGGATAGTTGGATGTGGGTCCCCGGCTACCTTGATCCTAAACTCCTGGGGCTGACCTGTATGTATGATCAGACAAAGATTGTAACAGTATGTCTTCCTTAATGTAGGTCTGTCATGTGTATTTGTCCCGGCCAACAAACTCCAGGGCCAACTGCCAGCTAGTTCCCGGCCATCTTCTGGGACCTATCTTCGTGTGTCTGAACTTTGATAGTCTGGGGTTGGGGAATTCTTTCCACCAAGGTGCTGTCCCTCAACTGTAAGGATACAAAAGCAGACACACACACCACACACACACACACACACACACACACACACACACACACACACACACACACAGACATAAGATACTTGAGTTATACCCAAAACCGGAGTTGTGACCCACGCACAGACACACACAAAACAATGTACCCTTTCACGTTTTCACGCAGGTTAAGAAAAAAGACTAGGACGTACCATCAATGCCAAACAGCTCCGCGGGCTTTTCCACTATAGTCGCGGCCATGCTTCCGCCTCCTGCTGCCGGTGCTGCTGCTGCCGGTGCTGCGGCTGCTGCCTTACCCTGCGCTGCTGCAGGAGGTTTCGCCTCCTCCTTAGGTTTCTGAGCTGCGTTTTCCTGTGCAGCCGCTGCAGATTTGGCCACAGACGCTTGTGCCTGGCCTGGCTCTCCTGCAGTCTGTTGGCGATAGTTCAAAGAGGAAACTGTGAGGATCTCGCACTTCAGAAAATCCTGTCTTTAAGCGCATTTCAACGCACAGAACTTTCACACAGTGTTCAATGAACGCCTAAAGAACGGATTTTGTGTAGACAGTGTAACAAGCACAAATGAAATCAGATCAGATAATATTCTGTAGCTACCGTCCTTTTCTTCATCAAACTCGTGGAAACAGCATACTTTTCTGATGCTCTAATCAACCAACTTATGGGCCCTATCATTCTCTAAATGTGTATGGGGGGGGGGTCTTAAACATTCATCAGTAAGCTTACCGTCTGCGCCTGTGCCTTTTGTGCTTGAGGAGAACCGTTCACAGAGGCAGCGGTGGAGATGTCATCAATGATGTAGCGAACCTTCCCGCCAACTAGTTGTTCTGTGGAAGAAAAAGATAACATCGACAATGGATTTTTATTGCAGCATTATCTGGCCCCATTGGGTCAAAGTGCACTATTCTATGCTCTCTCTCTCTCTCTTTCTCTCTTGTTACATCATAACTGATGGCATTGAATATGAGAACATGTCATCATTTTAACGTTTGAGATAATGAAATGTTATTTCTTATTCACGAAAACTCGAGACAAGTGAAAGACATCTTTAAAATGTTTACCTCGACATCTATATTCATCATTTTAAACATAACCAGTTCAATCAATCATCGCATCTATTAGGAGAGCCAATGCATATAGACATGACTTTCCTGGGTGTTCTATTTTCGGCATATTGGACCTACAATTGGTCCTGTTGACCCCTAACCTCTTAGCGTCTAAGTGCACGTGTGTCATCCCACCTACTTCTGAGGTGACCTCCAGGACGCTTCCAGATAGGTTCTATCTGGTTCTGGAGTGGCCAGTTACGGAAGAAAATCTGTATCGGTAGAAGGCTGGTATAACCGCCTTTCGGTGTAGCTCACCAGCTTCACAGGCAGCTGGCTGCATTACACCGAACGACTTGTTACTGTGACCTAACCGTTGAACTCTAAACATTGTTTAAAGTTATTTAATGATGATCTTTTCCTTGCTACAAAAATGTCTAGAATTTGTAACCTTTGGGCATCTGCTAGGATGGTGTCGGATGATAACAGTTTTTCTATTTTAATGTTCAAAGATTATATCAGCATCGCTCCTGAATATTCTCAGCCGTGAGGCCCGTTCAAAAATACACCGGTAATTGGCTGAATTGGATTTGAATAGCTCGCAGCGATTTAGAATGCTGACGATGCATACCGATGTCCTTGTGAAACTAAAAGTGAAAGATAGTGATTCTAAAAGACCTAATGTTTTGGTCCAATTAGCAACAGTTATTTCTTCACAGCAGTAAGGAATGGGCCTTCATTTGCAGTAAGTCCCTAAGACTTGTCATGTTTACGTTGTACTGTAAGTAGGAGGCAGCAGCAACAGCTGTGACGCATACTTGCAGTGTTTAACCTAATTACAATCATTCATTGATAAAGTCAGTGAAGTATGATAAGGCCTGTCAAGCAAACTATGTGAAAGGATCCCGTTTTGTCAAATTTTGATTGATTATAGACACTGTTGGCTGCTTGATTAGTTTTGCTGTCAGACGTTCTCTAACGACGTGAAGATATCTCATTTGCATATTTCCTCACGATCTGCATGGCCACAGCAAGCCTTAGAGGAAGTACAATATCATCATGACATTTTACGTACAACGTGAACCTTGTTGGCAATACCTTCAGATGCCTTATAACAACTATGAAACTATCTATATACATGGATTCACCATGGAAAGACTGTTTCACAGATGTTTTTTTTCAAATAAGTTTCTGTCTGGCAACTTTGTTGAAGCTTATATGACATTTTAATGGAAATACCATGTTAGCGCCATTAGGATAAGCCTTAGAGGAAGTACAATATCATCACGACATTTCACGTACAACGTGAACCTTGTTGGCAATACCTTCAGATGTCTTATAACAACTATGAAAGTATCTATATACATGGATTCACCATGGAAAGACTGTTTCACAGATGTTTTTTTCAAATAAGTTTCTGTCTGGCAACTTTGATGAAGCTTATATGACATTTTAATGGAAATACCATGTTAACGCCATTAGGATAAGCCTTAGAGAAAGTACAATATCATCACGACATTTCACGTACAACGTGAACCTTGTTGGCAATACCTTCAGATGCCTTATAACAACTATGAAAGTATCTATATACATGGATTCACAATAGCAAGACAGTTTCACAGATGTTTTTTCAAACATGTTTCTGTTTGGCAACTTTGTTGAAGCTTATATGGCATTTTAATGGAGATACCATGTTAGCGCCATTACGATATACCTAAGATGACACATACCAAGAATAGCACTGTTACACTTATTCCATTCACGTACTCAGTGTCATTGCTCTAACAATGTGTGGGTATATGCAGATATGGAAGAGCCCCGCCCGTCCCTCAGTTCTGCCTTGTGCTATTTTGGGGACATTTCTGGCGTGGTTTGTGTCCCTAAGCAGTGTGTCTGCCTCCAGAGCTGCTCCAATAGCAGCGGCGTGTGAGCATGCCCACAGGGTCTGCTCAAACTTCCAGATGACCTTGTACTGTTTACCAATATGTGTTCGTGAAACTATTTCTAACCATTTGCAGAAGTCTTTTATAATTACAGATTTCTATTGATGGACCACGAAAAGTTGTCTTTCAAATACTTAGCTAGACAAGCCAATATACAATGAATTTGTAGTGTAGACGTGTAGGATACGTGCATATGGAGTGCGGTAAATTCCTTTTCATGCTTCCATAAATGCACCCTATATTTATAGTTTGCAAATTCATACCCAAAGGCTAAAGCAATATACATGTACAACGTGTACAACATACATAAAGAATAACAAGTGACTACTATGTTCAAAACAATTGACTATTCTATTCAAAATATAATCTAAACTTTTTAGGCTTCATTTTTTTTTGGAAGCTGTGGAAGATGAAGTGTGACAATTCTACAATGAGTGGGTTTTGAAAGGTTAACAGGATTGTAGTTTTCTTTTCAAGGTTTGGAAGTATATGAATATATATTGTTAGGATTAAAGTAGGGCATAGCGTGAATTATACCCTGTCCCCATAAGACTGTGGACATGATCAACATTGTTATTCCTTATAAAAGACATCTTTGTAATACCAGTAGTCTCTGTATAGTAAACCCACTATGGAAATCGTGGTTAAAACGGTTAACCTTTGACATGAAAAACAGCATGAAACAGGCTACGGGAACATATCCATTACAAAAGTTTACAACTATAGTTTTCCGATAATATGAAATGTGAAAACATTAACGTAAAATCAAAACTTTAAAAAAATTCATGACCTAAATGCCTTGTAAATGTACGTGAAACAATAATTTCAATCTATACGATTCATAGATATATTTACTCAGCTGGCCCATTATATTTACTGTATGTTACGGTGCTACGTTTAAAAAAAATGCCAGAACGTAAATTAATTGAGTATTAAAACATTGGATAGTTGCCTAAAACAACCATTTAATACGTGTATAACCATAAAATACCGAGGAGGCATACTCAGACTATATTGAGTTCGCAAAGATATGATCCAGCTTAAGGGGGCAATCTTAGAAGCTTGATGTTTTAATCCCTTGATGACCTGCTGCAGGCTAGCAAGTCCCGACAAAAACCGCTGTCTTCAAATCCCCCGACACCCTTCCACATTCTAGACCATTTTGAGTATGTTTAATTCAATATTCCTTAGGTCTATGTCTTCCTCAAGAATGTGTTAGGATACATAAGAGAGTTACAAGTCTTTGAAGTCAATATGAGAAAATCAGCATTGTAATTTAACGGAATGTTGCTAATCTTTCAAAAGGCACAGACACTTTTCAAAAGACACAAACCACGTGGAGTTGGCTCAGTCTAGTTTATAAAACACCGTGCACTGTTATTGACGACATTGACAAAGTGCTCTTGCAGTCAGATATAACACTAGCTACGGCGATGTAAACCAGGGAACAAATGCCCAGCTAACTAGCACGTACGTAAATAACTTAAACCCGACAAGGTCTCCTCAGCAGCCTAGTCGACGACTGCAAACCGTATCAGACTCGAGTCTCACGTACTAAAATATCTTAGAGGTTTAGCAAGAGACAAACGACAATGGATTGAACTGTACAGAGACATACACTGATTTGGTCTGGCAATTGTAGTTTAGAGTTAATCTACTGCTAATTCACAGACAACAGACACACAGACACACACACGTGTGCCCGCGCGCGCGCATATATCACAAACCCCATGAAGTTGGCTTAGTCTAGTTTATAACACATGCTGCACTATTATTGACGCCATTTGCGAAATGCTCTTGCACTAGCGATGCAAACCATGGAACAAACGAGTAACTAACACATAAGATAAATAACAGGGAGGCCTTCACATACCTTTAACGGCAAGTCTGGCTGTGGTGGTAGACTTGCCGGCCGGGTTGGACGCCACACACTTGTACTCTCCAGACGAAGATTTGTTGACTTTCTTGATGAGGAAGCTGACCTCTCCTTTCTCATACGTCACCACGAAGTCCGCGTCCGAGCGCAATTTTCTGGCCCCTCTGCAAGAGTCAAAGACATGCCGTTCAGAACGCAGACATTGCCAGACAGTAGGGCTGACACTCAGGCCAACTTCTCCAAACTTACAGAGACCACTGGCAGACAGGAGTACATGTTACCATTTCAGAAATGGTAGGACTGGGCCGCTAAGATACCAGTGACAACATTCAAACATGAGATCACACTTGGCTTTCAAAGATGAAAGATCAGTTGCAATCTTCGTCGGCTCTCTAGAATGTTTATTTCATAGAGATGTTCAACATTACTAAGCATAATAACTGGAAAGTCTCTCAAAGGATAAGCGGCTAGTTCATTATTTAGCCTGTGTCTTGGTGGGTTCAAACAATTATTATGCATCTTAATTCTAATCAACTTCTTACGAAGGTCTTAACATATAATTAAATTGCTCTACTAATCAGGACGTGGTTTCTTAAGGATTGCAAGATCTTTCAGGCTCTAAAATTTTGTTTCTTTACAACTAAAATTAGTTGCTCGCGAATGCTTTCACCCAGGAGGCTATTCATGTTATTAAGACTGATCAGTTAATATCAGTTGATATCAGACTTTGTTTGTTAAGGATTGCAAGATTCTTAAATGTTGTTTCTTTATAATTCAAGAGTCAGTTGCTTACGAAAGTCTTCACACAGAAGGCTACTCATTTTAAGATTGATCCGTTAATCAGATCTCAGACTTTGTTTCTTAAGGAGTGGAAGATCCTTCAGGCTCATGAAGATTTAGTTTCTTGCCTCAGCTGTGAAGCAGATTGCCACGTCAGCTACTGTTGAACTGTTTCTATTTTTGCGTGCAGCCTTGCGTGACTGCAGGCTGACCTCGACGGAGTCGTTTGAACCATAAAAAGACGTTAGTAAGAAGAGCGGCACCAAAACGTCCCACCAAATGTGTCGGCAATGAAACTTATACCAAGCGCTTCATGATTGAGGATTGAGACATAAGTTTGACACTAAAAAACGACAGCAAGAGCTACAATCAAAATGCTCGCGGTTCTAGATCCCATAGAGCCACGTAGTAACATCTTATAAGGGTTAGTGTTTCCCATGATTTAATAGCTTGTAGAAAGGTCATATAATTCATCCATGCCTTCTACTTCTTGCTTGTACTTCTTGAAGAAGTTTCTACTTCAAGCATCAGCTACCCAGCTGTCAGATACTCATTCTGAAGACTGCAACTTTTCCAATAATTCAAAGCCTGACAAGTTTATGGTTCTGAGTAAGAGGTGCTAATTGATGCACTGCCATCTATCTGGTCAGTCTTATAATTATTTAGACATTTTCACTGCAGAAAAGTCCTGGTTAATGTAGCCAAGATTGAGCGGCTCTTTGGCTTCCTCTGCCTGATATTCATGATGCCAACCACCGAAGTTGACATCTAGGGAAGCCTGTACCGTGTCTGGGTATGTAGTCACTGGATGGCCATTGACGCCGAACATCCAAGTCCCTTAAACTTGACATCCTACATGCTACACATTTCAGAGTGCTTTCTTCAAGCGTTAGGCAGTCGCGCGTGTCTTTGGTCAAAGGAAGAGGCATTTGCCATCCATTGCTGCCTGATGCCGTTCTATATCTATAGAACATTAAGTCCAACGTCTTAGTGCTAAGATGCATTGCAATGGTACTACCAAACCATCTCTTGTATCAAGGATTGTGTCTTATGGCACACATTCGTCGAGCATTGAGGAAAGAACAATTAATGCAGAATACATTTTCAATAGAGTTCCAAAATTCGTAATACAGTCATTGACATATTGATGTGACTTTGGACAATGTCATGTTGACGCTTCAAACCTTTCAGGTAATAGTACATGCAATAGAATTAAAATAGCAATAAAATTGTATCATTAGTGCTTGATAAAGGTAATCCTAAAGGAAAATATGTCATTTCAGGCCGTTGTTGCCTTGAAGAAGCTCTCTGTTCTCTGGACGTTTTGTTAAGATTCAGTGGCGTTCAATGATCTTCAGCTCCAATCATGATCCATACATAAATCAACGTTACTGATATAATTTTCTCAACTGAATTAAATGCCTTTCCACACCGCCAAACACGGCCCTTGGCTACTCCAGTCCATTTTCCGACTAATGACTAGCGTCCGGACGCGTTCACTGCTCCATCAGTCCAATTATATAACCCTGCTCGCGGCAATGGGCAGTCTGGAGATGCCTTAGATGTGGATGTGTGATAAAGAAGACTCATCCTGAAGGCAAGTACTTCTTAATAGTCCTGATTCATTTTGGCCTCCGCAAATCAGTCTTTAAATGGTCAGTTGCTTGACGACCTAAAATCATTGACGTGACCTCACCGTGCCTATGATATAATGAAGTCGTATAAAGTACAGAAGTATGTTGTGATTGTCATCTCGTCATCTATTACTGTTTCTATAGCCATGGTAGACCAGCTGTGATCTTGCCTCTAGACCATCTACACAAAGATTTATTGCAAGATATTTTCAGCACATAATTATGTAATCATAACTTGAGCATGGCGTGCCCACCATATAATGAAGTCGTATAAAATACCAAAGTATGTTGTGATTGTTATCTTTTTATCTATTACTGTTTCTATAGTCATGCTAGACCAGCTGTGATGCTGCCTCTAGACCATCTACACTAAGATGTATTGCAAGATATATACAGCACACATGTAATCATAATTTAAGTTTGTCTTTGAGGTCGTATTAAGTACTAAAGTATGTTGTGATTGATCTTTTACTACATCGTTTATCTATCTTTATCGAGGGTAGCAGAGCTTAGTGACTTTGCCTCTAGATCATATAACCTAAGATCTATTTTAAGATATATCTAGCACATATGTTACGTGATTATAAGTTGAATTTGCCTTGTCTATAATATAATAAACACTTATAATGTATCGGTGATTGTCAACACCATACCAATACCAAGGCACTGGAACACATGCATATTCCAATAAAAACAGGACCTTTCTGCTGGTATTTGCTATAGGTATAACGTTTTGACTGCGTGCATACCACCCATCTTTGTAACACACAAACACAATAGAGTATACAGTCGTATCTGCACACATGTTTTCTAAACGCTGTGGGATGGATTGGCGAGGCTCTTGGTATATTCCAGGGCCTTTGGCGAGGTCGCACTCAAGATGCTTAAGTCATCCAATTTAAGATCCTAAAGATCCTTAGACATGTACGTTCTTAAGGCAAGATTAAGTCATCCAATTTAAGATACCTCTCAGACAGGCATGTTCTTAAGGCGGGATTAAGTGTGCTTACTCTCCGGAAGTACAGGAGGAGATTTTATCTAGACTATGCGTGGCTGCCATAACAAGCAACTGACCACTCGCCATTTGTGATGAAGCTTGAATGTGTTAAACCCACCACTTATGCGTGATCTGATCAGGGAACTGAGGAGGTTTAGCGATGGCACGCGCAGTGATTGGGAGATTAGATTTTAGTCTTAATAATGATGAAGAAGTTGCAACTTTATGACTATTGCATAAGAAAAAGACAAGGTACTTTAAATTTCCCCCATTTCCAACTAACCAACTAACCTACAACTGCCCAAGACTTCTCAACAGGATAAGTTTTACATATGCATGGGCCTTACATCAAGCATGGGCCTCAGGGTCTCTGCTTTAATACTCGTGCCAAAGACGATCCACGACAGTGTCCACGACAACACACAATGATACTAGTAGCAGATTTTCAGTTGCCTCTAGAGCCTGACCACAAGTTTAAGTTGAGCTGATAGAAAAAATTGCATCTGGTGTCTTTTAAAATCTTTAAACACAGTGGCAGTCTATACAGTTGATAATCACACTGAAATTCTATACGATTACCAATCGTTAACATTTAAATCACAGTTACAACAGGTACACGTGTCGGGTAGGTTTGAATAGTGACAATGAACTTGTCCACACTGACCTGTACCAAAGAACGTCCGGCGGCGGCTGTCCGGTCGCTCTGCACTTGAACTCGACACTGAGGTTGCCGCCTGCTTCCTGGAATGGAAAAGTCATATACAGGTGATTTCTCTAGTACATAATTTCATCAGATTGCTGAATAATATAATAAGTAAAGTTTTACATGTGGGGTCGTGTGGCGTGACGGTAGAGCGTTGGGCTCAGACCCAAGAGGTCCCGGGTTCGAATCCTGCCCAATGAACCGATCTTGTGCCCTTGGGAAAGGCCTTTTCCACGACTTTCCTCACTCTACCGAGATGTAAAATGGGTACCTGACTTTGGTTGGGGAGGTAAAAAGGGCCCCGCCTTCCAATACCGTGCCCTAGACTCACTGCTTCTACAAGCTCAAAAAGGCTACGGGACCTTTACCTTTAAAGTTTTACATGAGCCGATGTTTCGATGACCGTCTGTCATCTTCATCATGGCTAATATGACTGTTTTGCTGTGTTGCACTGAAGCTAGGTGTTACTGTAACACTGCAGTCCCAAGCATATATCATTTCTCTTCCCTTTTCATCCTCAATTGAGGTGATGCCTTTTCATTATGTTGTCCAAATTTATTATCACTTTTGAAAGACGCTTATTTATACTTGGTCTATTATACATAGTCTATTTTCCATTTTTACTGTTAAATGATTTGATTCTCATATCATCTATCCTTTAGTCTAATTATTCGCATTCTGTTCTTCTTAACATAATTCACTTGGTGACATGCTGTTCCATTCTCTGCTAAGCTATCCTCCCATCTTGTCCGCTGCAAGCCCTCTTTCCTAATCCCTGATTTGACATATGACCGACAAAGATGTTGGAGCGAAGCCAAAAGATCATAGGGATCACCAAATCCTTAAATAAGCCGGGGCCGTTGGCATCCTTGGCAGAGACCCTGGATTGATGCTCATCTCATCAATCCTTTAGTATAATTATTCAAACATCTGGGCACCACAGATGATCTGACAACCAGTTTTCTCTACTCTTCTTGGTTTTCTGTTCTTAACGTTTCACCTAGTGCCATTCTACTCAGTTATCTTTGGTGTTATCTTTCCATCTATTCCGTTGCATGCCCTCTTCACTAATCCCTGATTTGACATATGACCGAAAACGATGTTGGAGAGAAGTCAAAAGATCATCGGGATCACCAAATCCTTAAATAAGACGGGGCCGTTGGCATCCTTGGCAGAGACCCTGGATTGATGCTCATCTCATCAATCCTTTAGTATAATTATTCAAACATTGGGCAT